TCTCCGAGGGGATTTCTTTACGGAGAGGAAATGAGTGCAAGCTTGTGTGCATCCAGGTTCCGTCCAGTTTGTGCCTGGCCCTAGAAAAAGGACGAGGGCCTCAGGGCCTTGGCAGACCATGGGACGGCCGACCAAGGTCTAAGCCAAGGACCTACGGTGGGCCTACGCATAGGGCATAAGCCTCTGCACCCAGTCCAGGAAGGGCTACGATGCGCACATTCATAAAAAATAAAAAAGGGGGAGATGTTGGGAGCCGCGGCCGAGCCCGGTCGCCTTACTTGGCGGACGTGAGGCCTGTAGGAAAGAGCAAAGCCTGAGCTAGATTACCCCTCCCATCGAGTGTGCTAAGATGGCGCTTATCTCCTGCTTGGTAAACAACCCGCCCTGTAAGATCTCCTGCTTCACAACCCGCCCTGTAAGATAGTCTGCCTAGCAACAACTGATGTTAGCCAATCAGCCCGCATCGCGCGCTTTGAACTGGTTGGCCACTGTAACCCTATAAAAGTGAGTGCCTCTCCTGCCAAGAAAAGAAGAAGAAGCAGAAGAAGCAGAAGAAGCACAGAAGGAGCCGCGGAGAGCGGACCGGTAGAGGCTTCGGGACAGACTGTAGGGAGAAGCACGCAAGGAGCCGCGGAGAGCGGACCGGTAGAGGCTTCGGGACAGACTGTAGGGAGAAGCACGCAAGGAGCCGCGGGGAGCGGACTGGTAGAGGCTTCGGGACAGACTGTAGGGAGAAGCACGCAAGGAGCCGCGGGGAGCGGACCAACAGAGGCTTCGGCCGGGAGGATTCCCGGGGCAGGCTGTACGGAGAAGGAAAATAAAAGAAAAGGTTGTCCACTGCCAGACTTTGTTGTGTGTCCTTCCTGCCGGCCGGGAGTGACACCGACATATCAGTATTGCAATGGTAAGAGAAAATTCTCATTGTGATGTCACGGAAAAGTAATTTACATATACGATACAGTTTCAGATCTGTTTAGGAAACAACTGAAAAAAAAGATTAAATAAGGAATGGTACAGAAAAAAAAATACATTAAGCACTCACAGTATGAACTCAAAGAATGTGTGATATGTGGGTCTGACAACCAAAATGTTTGTGGCCTGAAAGAGTCTTAAAATAAAATTGTCAAGGTTCAAGAAAAAAAAAAATGGAGTTAAAACAATAGGTAAATTTACACATTTATGTCTCACTTCACCAGGACTGATGTACTTTCACAACCAGAGGCTTATCTTTTCCTTTTATTTTCTTTTTTGGCTGTACTTGAAATATTTAACACTCTACGCTTAGATATTCCTTTTTTTTTTATATTCCGTATTTATAATATTGAACATAGTTCAGTTAAAATTGGTCTCATTTCTCTTACTAAACAAAAGTTAAAAAATGGATCCAAATGATACACGAAAAATTCAGATTTTATTAAATCTGGAATTATTTAAATTATTTAATTAAATTATTAAATTATCCCGATTGTAATTAAAAAAATGAGTACCAAGGATATTTCAAACTCATGGTCAAAGAGCAAAGAAAATGTTCTGGCACATTTAAGACTTTTAAATTCCAAACCAGGGGCTGGGGATGTAGCTCAGTGGTACAACACCTGCCTGGCAAGCATGAGGTCCTGAGTTCAATTTCTGGTACCAAAAAATAAATAAGTAAGTAAGTAAATAAATAAATTCCAAATTATTATTCTAAGCTGTGATTATCACAGGTTCTTTCATGTTGAATTCTAAGTTATAAAAATATGCCAATAAAAATTTAATCAAATAAACACAATCATTTAAAGAAAATTTTTAAGACACACTGGAAATGTGATCTTTTTAAAACTGTAAAAATTAAAATGTATCTGAACTAATATATTAATTGAAGAATAATTAAAAAGAATGACAGTAAGAGTGTGGCTAGGGCAACCCACCTTCCCGGCTGCCTGCTGTCCCTCAGAAAGAAGCTTTGTTTCTCCCAATAAATTCTTCTTACAGGTTTAAAAAAAAAAAAAAGTGTGACTAACTGAAGGCTCAGTATGGAGAGGTGCTGCTCATTAAATTTAAAGGTCAAGAACATAAAATTGAAACCTAAAAACAAATTTGGAAATTCAATTTGTGAAAATAAGTGTTTGGGATTTTTAAACAGAAACACTTTTACTGTTTAAGTTTTAAGATTACTATTCATGTTTTCAAAAAATACTACTAAACATTTATTGGTTGTATTCATTTCCTATGGCAGCTGTAATGAATTACCATAATCTTAAAGCTTAACAACCCAAATTTATTCTCTGGGAGTTCTGGAACCTCAGAGAGAAGGATCCATCTCCCTGTCTTTTTCAGAGTTCACTGCTGTCTGGGTTCCTTAGATCTGGGCCCTCCAGTGTCTGCATCCATCATCGCACCTTCTCCTCGCTGTCATCAAATCATTCCTTGCCTTCCGCTGTTAAAATGATACCTTTTAATTGCACTTTGCGCCCACCATGGCAATCCAGGAGAATGTCCCCACCTCTCTGCCACATAAGGGAACATTCATGGGTTCCAGAGACTACGGTAGTTATCTTTTGAGGCCATAATTCAGTCTACCACACTGGTTTAGAAAAATACATTTCACAGTTTTCTTCCTAGAAATTATATACTAAATCTTATCTGGATTAGCTATACATATTTCATTACTCTCCATTCAAAAATATTATTTTATTTTAGAAAGAAAAAATAAAACAAAATTTCAAAACATGGTAATTAAGGGGGAATGATGGTATATGCATTATATATTCATATCTTCAAATCAGTTACTCAAAGTACAAGTCATCTGCATTTAATCCTCTGAACAATATGAGCACAAACCTTCCCCTTCAATGAGCTCAGAGAAATTAGTAATATAACTATCTTAACTATCTTTAATATACACAGTTTCTTTCAGCTTCTCACACAGTGAGGTAGTATGTTTATATATGCATGTCTTATGTATTTCACTTATGAGTATGGTCTCAAACTGCCTCTATTTTCCTGAAAAAGTCTCACATTTATCCTTGTTTATGGCTGAGTTTTGTATAAAAATACCACATCTTTTTTATTCATTCATAAGTTGATGGTCATTTAGGTTTTTTTGCAAGAGCCAGCTATTACAAATTGTGCTGCTACAAACATAGGTGCACATGTATCTCTGTGGTATGATGTTGTAATTCTTCTGGTAAGATACCAAAAAGGGAAATAGCTGGTCAAATGGGACTTTCAATCTTTGTTTTTTGAGGAATCTACACGCTGATTTCCATAGTGGTTGTACCAGTTTTCACTCCCACCAAAAGCGAGGAAGCATTCCTTTTTCCCCACATCCCCTCCCCTTTGTTATTGGTTGATTTCTTAATAATAGCCATTGGTTGATTTCTTAATAATACCCATTCTTTCTGGGGTGTGGTGAAATCTCAGTGCTGTTTTAATTTGCATCTCTTGAATGATCAGTGATATATTTTCTTTGTATTTTTTTTAATCCCAAAAGTGTGTATTCATCCCAGCTGCCCATTCTGGGGTCTTTAAATTTGGGAGGATTGAATTTCTGAGTTACTCTCCATTTTAATGGAAGTAAAACCTTGGTGTATTTGGCTAGCCATCAGTAAATTCCAAGAGGTCTTCTGAAAGTATCTATGTGGTCTTTCAGGCCAAGCCAGAGACACTGGGCAACAGAGTGAACATTTTTCTTCCTTTCAAAGGCAGATATATTCACTCAGATATATTCTTTCAGCCACCACTCACATATACATTATTAACATGCGTGTTATTTTATTGTGTTTAATCAGTGGATAGGAAATCTAACTTTCAAACTAAAACATCTCAAGATTAACTAGTCAGGATAATGTTTTTTCTTTTAATTCTTCTCTTCTTTCAAAAGCTATTTCTGAAAGGTAGACTTGCCAAAGTAATGTAGGCTTTAGAGTTACAGTTTGGAGCTTATATGTGATCTTAGGGAAAAAATACTTAATATTTTAGCTTCTCAGTAATAAATCTATAAAATTCCTTTCCCAGATATTTATTAAGAGAACATTAGAGCCTTGATATAATGGCTGGAATATAACAGTTGCTGAATAAATATTAACTACCTTCCAACTTTTACATTAGAAAACATGTCTATGAAACATGCAGAGTGAATCCGAATCAATTTACCATTGTTCAGTATGATTTACAGAATGAATTTAGATGTAACTAGTAAAGTAACATGAAAACAGTAATGAGCTCATTAAACATTCAATAGTAGCTTATGCTATAAATGTGACACAAGAAATAGAGTTCCTAAGTTTAATAAGAGTCAGACATTTGGTAGAAATGGTAAAGTCATCATTCTATTATTTAAAAGTTTAACTGTGTCATTACATTATTATGAATTAGCAATTCCTGTAATTCCCTAAATCTTTGTGCATTTGTATTATGTCATTCTAAAACATTTACATTAAAAATACTGGCAAACCCTCAATAAATAAATGTGACTTAGGTATCAGAATAACTCTAAGGATCCCTTTGATAGTGAAGGGTGATATAGGCATTTTTCTAGATCACAGGTTAGAAAATCTACACACTGAGATATAAAGTAAAACTTCCTCTCCCCTACAAAAATATTTGAAGTCATTTTCTTGAGAAATATCTAGCCTATACATCACCCTTAAGGAGGTAAAGAAGCTTGATAGAGCAACTGTCCTTGCCAATGCAACACAGATCTCAAATATGCAGCAATTGGTCACTAAGGTACTCAGATGCAGTCTAGAGTTTCTCAGATCTCCATAGGACATGTCATTAAATCTTCTCCTCCTTCTGGGTCTGACTTCTGGGGAAAAAGCATATGGTATAAATATTACTATATTTGGTAGTGAATACTAATGATTGCTCAGGAGGCTCATCCTTCAGTTTCTATGGCCTTTAGCATCTAGCTGCTTATAAATGTGACATGCTTCAATTTGATTTAATAATCTTTTTGAATTTATAGTTTGGAATTTTCTGTATAAAATCTATCAGTAAGATCAGATACCCACATATGTGGAGAGACATACACATTTATTTTTATAGTTATCCCATTAACAGACTGTAAAATTAAGGCAAACAGACCAAAGCCTGTCCAAAGCACATTTTACAAAGATGATTATTCCTCTTAAATTAGTAGAATCTGAAAACAGATTCAACACCAACATACATACACAAACATAGACATGTAAGTTACATAGGGTAATACTTTCTCTATAATGCCAGGATGGAAGCTCAATGATCACATGGAACTAAAAAACATGTCAGTTTCCACATGGAGAAATATTTTAATCACTGTACAGAATGGCAGAAGAATGTGCAGAAATTATTCTATAATCTACATAAAAACAATTAATGCATACTCTGTATTATAATAAATTAAATTGACTTTCATAGATTACATTATACAAGTCATATTAAAAAGAATTCCAAGGAAAGAATTAAGAGTTTTGTTAAAAGTAGAATTTTACTCCACATAAAAAGCCTCACACAAAAGTTATACTGACTCATCACCTAAGACATAGCATTGTGTTACACAGTGTGAGAATAATATGCTAAGTCAGACAGCACAAATCATTTGGATAATTTGATTAACAATATAAATAGTATACAGATTTAATTTCTTAAGGTCAATAAAAAATTCTCAGAAGTTGGATATATCTGAGTCAAATGTTACCATAAACAATATAGATTCCATAACATATACTGTTATTTTTTAAAAGCATCCATAATGGGTAAACTCCATTGCGTAAAACAATATAAAATACAGATTTTGTAACAAAATGCTTTGTCAAAAACTGCAGTTCACATTAGAAGTTAATATCACTGGGGAGTTAAATGATTAAAACCAAAACACATATATATTACAAATATTCTTTTGTTCTTCACTTACCATGATGCAAACTGCAAGGATTTAACCTTTAAGGGTTAAAGAGTTTAATCAATGTCAATGTCTGATCTTCTGAAGGCGATAAAGAACAGTCTGTCTAGCGATACCCAACAGAACATCACTTTGTCAAGCCACAAAGCGCCCAAAAGCTTGTCAAGTAAGTTACCAGAAACCTCTTTGTGGTTAGAACTCAGTTCCTTCCTGCTTGACCTATTATTTGATATTTGACCACTTGGTTGCAAGACACTTGCTCTTTCTAGCTGAAATGTCACTGGGGCATCTTGTCAGCTCCCCGACATCTCGCCCTGACATACAATTTTACTTTTGTGTGCTACAAGGCAGAAAATGCAGGGCAATGGCCTTGTTTTAAATTCTGTCAGCATCAAAGATGGGCGTCACTCTTGGGTCCTACCAACAACAAAAACAAAAAAGGAGTCTATTTTGAAGGTCAAAACAGCCATTACCTTGAAGTTTTTTAGTTTATACTAAATATATTACCTGCTATCCTAGTGTGGGAACTGTCCTTATAAAGTGCCTAAACACACCACAGAAATCCTCCCAGTACAATTGCTCCACTTGCTTATCAAATGCAGACTTGATACAAGGATGAGCTTTCAATGCCTGCAGGGACCAGATTCAGCAGTTAACTTAACTTGTTCAAATGGGCAAGTGGTATCATGTAGCTTTACAAGGAGCAACCTGACCTTCTCACATTGACCAGGAGTGACATTATTGTGCAGGAGGAGAAGCAGTCACATCATTTCTGTTTTGCACAACCTGCTTAAAGTTTGCAACTAAATGCTTGTCTTCAGTTGAGCTGACAAGAGAGAAGAGGGGCTCAGTGAACCATGGCAGGGCTGCCATGAAATGACAGGAATCATTGGCATACATTTCAAATAGCTCTCTCAATCCTATTAAAGTATTGCAGTCCTGCTTTAAAATAGACAAGTATGAAACAACTTTGATAGATAGAGACTAAAATGGCTTATTGATTTTTTTAAGTCTGAGGGAAATTACCCAAAATGTGTCATTCTTTAACATTTAAAAATATGTTACATAAAAATGAGGAACTGTGATAATAAATAAAATTTAGAGAGAAAAAGTGGGCTATTTTGTTATTTGAGACAGATTCCTGCACATATCAAGATATTGTACATTTTTTCAAAAATCCACCCCCACTTGTGCTGAAACAAAATTCAACTGATAAGAAAATCCCTCTTCAAACAATTTTAATTGTACTGTTAACTCTTCTTCCATTTTTGTTTCATAAAGTCATAATCCAATCTGAGTTGGTCCTTTGACATTAGCAGACATAGTTACTGGAGAGGAATTAGATGATGTTAGAGAATGGGGTGCAGTTTTTATAAATGTCTCCTTTAAGAACTCATAAGTTGTATCAAGTTCAGCTTGCAATGGCAAAAAATTCCCCACAGTGACTGCGTCAGCAGGGAGAGCAGCTCTTGAAGGAATGGAGAGATTCGAGTGGTCCCGTGATCCTGTCTGTGACATACAAAAGGAAGAAAAAAAACACATTGAATTGAAAATTATCAAACAGAATAAAAACAAGGGAGTAGACTAGTAAACATTATTGTATTCGGTGGAACAGAAACTGACTCTAAATAACCTACTTGATAATATATACGTATTTTCTAAGTGACTAGCTGTCCTATGCCATAAACTTTTCAGAAAAACAGAACACTAAAACTTAGTATAAAAGTATTGTTTCAAAGAGTCAGTATAGTCAGACATTTCTACCTCAGCTTCATTTCACTGGAATTTACAGAAATTGATGTTGAGTATTTATTTCATTATGCTTATAATATGTGCTATGTAATATGGAAGATTTATGGGTAATGTTTTTAAACCTATCAACCTGAAGCATTTAACTGACAAAACACAAAGCAATATAGGAATCCCAATGACTTTTAGAAAATAATACCCTGAGATAGAAAAGTCTAGTGAGAAGAGCTTTTTGCTTTTACCTTTAGTAATACTACCTTCCTGTTTTAATAAGGACTTGTTCTAAGTACATGTATCTGAAAATGATGTATCAAAATAAGGGAGCTCAAAATCACATCTCATATATTTTAAAATATTGCTGTCATGTAGACTGAAATATCACATACACTTGAAGTACTTGGAAACAAAACTGCTATTTGGATAAAAACTATGCATTTAAGCCTTAAGTAACATTGGTAATTAATAGTATTAATTTAATGTGAATGAAGTTGTAGCAATAAAGTAGATAAATATTATTTTATAACACTTAAAGATAAAATGATCGATTTTATGTTAGAAATTTTCAGTTTCTCAGGAAATAAATGTTGGTGAGATACCAAGTTTAGTCACAAGTATCACTAAAAATCACGTTCTGTACAACAGGGTTAAAAAACACTTTCTAGTATATTGTCATATAGTTTTGCTAAGAAATAATGTATAGTATGGGGTCTGCTTTATTACATCATGTCATACAAAACTGCTTCTACATGTAGAAACAAGAAAGAAGCTATCGCTGAGGGAAGTATTAGAAATTCAGCTGTTGTATATGTTACCATTTTTGTAGATTTTTTTAAAACTACAACTGGAGGAAAATCAATGTCTGCATCTAACACCTAGTTCAGCAATTTTCTTTGATCTCTGTTCTTTTGATTTCTTGATATTCCACTGCAAGCCTATAGCGGACGGAAATCATCTCTTTTTATGCTGGAACTTAAAAAAAATGGCCACTTGTATAGCTCTACAAAGGGACAAAGTTTATCTCACCCCTACAGAAGGAAAATAACTTCCTAAAATCATGTTCCAACCCTGTTTAGCAGCACTGATAAGGTTTCACTCACAAAACCTTCACTGGGCCCAAACATGTTAGTTCAAAATCTGAAAAAGGTGCTCCCCACACCAGGGCCTGCAAGTGTATTGCTATTACAATAGCTTTTCTGGTGTTTTTTTCCAGCTGGGAATCTGAAGTGGCAGCATTATAATCCAATTGGCTTGTTGCTATCAATACTACACTGCTACCTTCCAACTTCTTATTCTGCCAGACCTGGGGGTGAGGGGAAGCTGGAAGAGCAGTAAATGGTACATTTTGACTGTCTTCTTAATAAAACTTAGTTATAATAATAGCATTTTTACCGTGATAAAATAATACTATTGGGCAAGGCTTCAAAAAGTTTGTTTTATATCTTTTTAACACTGTTAAGAGTTGTATGTATTTAAGGGCATACAAAGTCCATTGTAATTTTTAAATATAACATGGAATGATTAAACTAAGGTAAATAATAGTTTCATTACCTCAAGTATCTGACATTTTTGTGATGAGAACATCTGAGAATACTCTATTATTGATACTGAAATGTATAAGACTATTATCAGCTCTATTCATCATACTGCACAATAGATTTTAAAAAATAACCAAACATATTGTTGTAATCAGGGTTTTCAAGGGAAAGAAATTAATACAGCACACATAATTTACAGGATTATTTTAAAATAGTCACCCAAAGAGTCAAATGCAAACGAGTGAAAGAGATCTGTCACATACTGGAGACCCAAAGAATCCAGCTGAGGGCCTGGCTTCCATGCCAGTGTCTTGTATGAGACCAGTTGAAGACTTAGATCCCATGACAATGCTCCCCATGAGTCTAACTGGAGGCCCAGGGCCTATGACAATGTTTCGTGCAAGTCTGTATCAAGGATCTGCCCTATGAAGGTGCAAAGGTCAGCGGTAGAAGCTAGAAAGTCTAAGCCAGTGAGATGAAGGACCTGTGCTAGCAGGCTGAGGGATATTCAGGAAGTGATGGAAGCAATGCTCACAGAAAGGACCAGAGCTCTCCTGAAAAGAGGTGCAGCCATCCTCAGTAACAGTGAGGTCCAGAACTCCTCCAATGATGACAACAGTCCAGTTCATATCGGGGAAAACCAGCATGACAAGCTTCTCCAAGAGAATCAACAGTGCACCTCTTCCTCTCCAGTTCTCTTTGTTATGCCATTGGCCATAATCCTCAGGTGGGTCCTTTATCATCTTTGTAATCCCCTTGTGGCATGCCTCTGCCAAACACATTTGTTCATTCTGCTTCTGTGAATTAACCTGTTTTAGGTTCCACTTTGATAACACAAAATATTTGTCCAATGTTAGGCATAATCTTCTCCAACATCATCAAAATGGTAACAAATGACAGAATTTCTTTCTCTTTTAGGACTGAAGAGCATTTCACTATGTTTATATAGACATTTTTTTGTCCATTCATCTAGTGTTGTACACACGGATGATCCACTCACCAGTGGAGGATAGATATCATAAAGTGGCTTTTTTGTATAGAGCATAGAGCCACAATTAAGATGAGAAGCAAATGATTTTAGATCTGCGTACACATCCAGAAGTGGGACTGCTAGATCATATGGTAATTCTGTTTTCAGGTTTCCCTTTTTCTTGTTTTCTTAGGATGTTTGTAGTTTTTTATACTTTAAATTCTGGTCTAAGAAAGCTCTATGTGAAAAAAAGAGGGCATGCAGAGTCTACGAGGAAGTCAATGGTTATCGTCTTCCTGATGTTCTATATTAAAGTAACTGTGCCAAATTGACTCACATCCAGTTTTGCCAGTGTTAAAGATATGCATAATTTCCTCCAATGTACATGCTGTATTTGAAGCTTCTTGTTTTTGTGACTCTATTAACCTATTATAAATAAGGAGGCACCTTTCAGGAAAGAGTTCTACTAACTTCTCACTCAGTTCTCTGTAACATTCTTCAGATATTGGCACTCCATAAAAAGATCCCTTATTTGCCTTTTTCTCACTCCTTTTAATATGCCTATTTTCCACTATATATGTGGAAGTACCCTTTCATTTAAATTTTTTAAACTAACCTTGAAAAAGATGTTGAGTATTTCTCTAATACTTCAAATTAGTTTTAGTTTTTGCAATTATCTTTTGATAGTATGTTCTAAATATGGAAAATAACCTAAAACCCATAGTTGGGAAGGGAAGAGAGAAAGAGGGATACATTGCCTTTAAGACTTTTACCATCAAAAGGCATATCCTTTCCAGCAAGTAAACAGGCTCACTTTTGTGTAAATGAAAACAAATTATTGTTTTTGCTACGAGATCATCTGCTGTTCTGCTAGAAAATAAGTTTTTCCATGAAATGGGATAAAATCTGATTTTAAATTACTTAGCATAAAAAGAAGCCAGCAAAAATTCTGATGAAATTTTGATTTGAGAATGTTAAGATAACATGTAAATATTATTTTCCTTGTTATAAATAACATTCAGAAATATTCACAATGCTTTTTTAATGTAACATAGAGAGTAAAAGACAGTTAAATGACTTTTTTTCAGAGATCATTAAAAGTTAATATTCACCACCCAGTTGTACTCTTTAAATCTGTAAAGTCCATGGTCATTTAAACTACTTTTTAAACTGTTAAGGTGCTCTGGTAATCTCCTATGTAAATCTAAATTTAGGCAATTTTTCAAGAGAAATTAGTTACCTGGAATAAAAGCTAGGTGTCATGTGAATCTTTATGGAAGCACTTTTATTTACTCAATAAGCTATAAATGATTCCATTTGAACTGTTATAGTTCATCAACTAAATACATATTCACAATACCAAATGTGTCTACTAAATTTCTCTATTTTAGAAATCTTATGAAAAATAGTAACTGGATATATCCAACAGCCATTTTTCAGGACTTTAAAATCTTAATTTTTAAGAATGTTCTCCAAACAACAAAAATAAAGCATTAGCCTAATAATAAAATAATCACTCAATAAATTACCTATGAATCAAAGCCAGTTTGCCAGTCGAGGTTTCTGCAACAATGACACCAAGTCATTTGTCTCCTGTGTAACATTTATGATCAAGTTAAGTCTTCCAGAATTTAGTATTATGAGAAGTGAGGGGAAATGTGATTTAGAAAGCCTAAGTAACACTGCACGGCAATTATGCAAAGAGTATGGTGAAAGAAACTTTAGACTTCAGAAAGGAGACCAGAACACTATGGTTTCTCCTCCCTGTTCTAATACAATCTAACTAGGTCATTTTAGTCCATTCAAGCCTCATTTCCCTTCTATATATCCTATAAAATGAGGAGCTGAACTATTTCCAGCACCAAAGTTCTATGGGTCTATTATAATTCCATGTGTACTCATTTATGATATAATATTAACACCTAACTCACAACCCTAATATTAACTTAGAAGTAACAGTTCCCCAATACAATATTTAAAGATTTAGAGAGGATCTAGATAGGAAAAAAATATGCACTGCACATAGTTCTTTAAAAAAAAGAGACAAATAACAAGACTAGCCACATTTAGAGAAGGTGGCTTCATTCAATTAAATTTACTAGTACACATTACATTACTTCCACCTCCATGCTGTTATTTTTAAGTCCTGCACATTATTGACTGGTATTGAGCTAAAACATTCTACATGAGCTAATGAAAAAATCCAAGCATCAAGGGGAAGGAAGGCATTACTTGCCATTTCTACATTACAGTTC